CAGCCATCCAGAAAGCTGATTTAACGAAATATTGGTATTGTTCATGCGAATGTTTTGCTTAAAGGATGAGTATTCGGTGGGAAGACCACGAATAACAGCATTCACCACATCACGTTCAAGGATCTCTTCTTTCAAGGCATCGAGATCCGAGAGAATAGTTGCCACATCATCAAGGTATTGTGTCATAGTTTTGGTACCTTTACGAAGAGTGTGGAGTTTGTCCCGAAGCTGATAAACATGAGCGGTGGACACGGAGTTGTACCGTGCGGCCAAAGCATCCCAGAGGGCAGCAGATGTGGTGAAGTCGCGAGCATGTTTGTGAACGGAGGGGCTGATGACCGCTAGGAGGCAGGCGCGAATCTGTGTGTCAACGATGGTCCAGGAGGTATACTCTGGATTAGGGACGGTTTTATCGTTTTTGGAGATAGTTGGCGCCGGAGCTGCTTCATGACCATCAATCCATCCAAGGAGGAGATTAGCTGAAAGAGCTGTCTGGACATTGAGAGACCATGCCGGATAATTTGTTTCGGTGAGTTTTTCTGGGATTAAGTTGTGGAGACTCCGAAGCAAAAGTTTTACTCCGGAGGGTAAGGACGCCAAAGGATCCGATGGGGCTGCCATGGTGGGCGGCGGTCGGAAAAAAAAGAGAGGCTAGGTTTTTTAGAGCCTTAGCTCTGATACCATGATACAATTTGATAATAACTTATCTTATTGAATATTGAGAGATATGGCCCTATATATAGGGAATACAAGAGTAATCAAAGTACAAGTAGGAAAGGAAAGAATAATCCTAGTAGGAAAGGAAAGAAGCATCCTAATTTAATTATACTTCCTAATAAAAACTATAATGTATATTAGTATAAAAATAATTTTAATATATTAGTATTAATATGCAATAAAAATTTAGAGTAATTAATTATTAAAATGTGTCGAGTTTAACTCAAAATAATCAAATTAGACGAATACTTGGGGGAAGGATGGATGAAGTATTGAAAAAAAAACCTTTGGACGGGCAATGGTGGGGGAAATTTTTTTTTATAAAAAAGTATAGGGATTAAAATATTGTTTTGGTTGGCTCACCCAGTATTCAAAATGGGGCATTTCATATGGAGGTCTGTATACGTCCTTAATCAGCAAAAGTGCGTCCAAGTTCTCTTCATGTTTAGCCCCGTGGGACCCATCCCCTTTCCTCACTAGATTTTCTCTCTCTCTCCCCTCCCCCCATTTTCTTCTTCTTCTTCTCTCTCTCTCTCATGATGACACATAGCATTTACACCCTTTTACACCCACAGAAATCTTCAAGAATTAGAAATACCCTCTTCAAATGCACATTCAAATTCAATAAATAATAATCATAATAATAATAATAATAAATATTGTATTTATGTATATTTATTATTATAGGCTGTATGGATGACATTGTATGGTATTGGCAATGGAGAGTGCAGCTTTTGATGGGCAGGGGTGAATGAGAAGTGAAAACCCAGTTTTGCCCCCACTGCTCTGGAGTTCAAGAAAGGGTCCAAATATGGTACCCGGATCTTTGAATGTTGATTGACTTACTGCTGAAGCAGATTCTTCATTTTTTTGAAAAAAAAAATTAAATTTTTAGTTTGGGGATGAAAGATTGAATGGCTAAGATCTGAGGATTGGATATGCTGAGCAGATTGTTGTTCTTCTGGTCTTCCAGTTTCAACTGACATTTTTCTTCATCTCAGGTAAAAATTCAATCTTTATTCCACATTGTTTGTTCTTTTCTTGTTTTTCTCAACAGTGAATATCATAAAGATTCTTTATATTTTCTGGGTTCTGTTTTTTTTCCTCTTGTAGTTTATCACTTGATGATTATTAATGTCTAGGAGATTGGGAATATCTGGTTTCTTTTCTTGGATGCCCTCCACATTTGTGTTGTTATTAAATCAAACAGTTTGTATAATTGGAAATGTTTCAGATTCTCCAATGATGAAAAAAGTATTTGATTGCTTTGATATAGAAACACCAATGGCATTTGTGTACACACATGTAAATGTAGTTCAACAATGAATGCTGTGAAGTAAATAAATAATTTTGTTGCTGGTTAGGTACAAACAATGTGGAGGAGGAGGAGGAAGATGAAGCAGCTGTTGTTCCTTCTGCTGTGTTTCTGCATTGCCTCATTAGCTGCAGCGGAGAACGGCGGCTGCAACTGCGAGTACTACGACGGGTTTTGGAGCGTCGAGAACATATTGGAGTGGCAAAGGGTGAGCGATTTCTTGATCGCGGTCGCGTACTTCTCCATCCCGATCGAGCTCATCTACTTCATCACCTGCTCGAACGTCCCGTTCAAGTTGGTTCTCTTCGAGTTCATCGCGTTCATCGTTCTTTGCGGGATGACTCATCTCTTGAACGGGTGGACGTATTACGGGCAACACCACTCGTTCCATCTCATGCTCGCCCTCACCGTCTTCAAAGTCTTGACTGCAATGGTGTCGTTCGCGACCGCGATCACGCTCATAAGCCTCATCCCGATGCTCCTCAAGGTGAAGGTGAGGGAAATCATGCTCAAGAAGAAGGCGTGGGACCTCGGTCGGGAAGTCGGGATTATAAAGCGACAAAGCGAGGCGGGACGGCACGTTCGTATGCTCACCCGGGAGATTCGCAAGTCGTTGGACCGTCACACGATCCTCTACACCACGCTCATCGAGCTCTCGAAGACGTTGGACTTGCATAGCTGTGCCATTTGGATGCCCGACGAGGACCGGACCGAGATGAACTTGACTCACGAGGTGAGGGACCGCAAGTTTTCTGACGTGAACACGTTAACGATCCCGATACACGACCTGGATGTGCAAGAGATCAAGTGTGGGGACGACGTGAAGCTTCTGGAACTTGAATCGGCGCTCGCCGCCACGAGCGGCGGCGAGCCGGGAAGCGTGGCGGCGATTCGGATGCCAATGTTGAGGGTCGCCAACTTCAAAGGCGGGACCCCCGAGCTCTTTCCCGCCTGCTACGCGATCCTCGTCTTAGTCCTCCCTCCAGGGACGGGCCGGTCTTGGGGGACCCAGGAGATCGAGATAGTCAAGGTGGTTGCCAATCAAGTCACGGTGGCGATATCCCACGCCGCGGTCCTCGAGGAGTCGAAGAACATGAGGGAGAAGCTGGCGGAGCAAAACCGGGCATTGCAAGAGGCGCGGGAGGGCGCGTTGCGGGCCCACCGAGCGAGAAACGCGTTTCAGTCGGTGATGAGCAACGGGATGAGAAGGCCTATGCACTCGATCTTAGGCCTCCTCTCCCTCCTGCAAGAGGAGGGAGAGGAGCTAAAACCCGACCAACGCCTTCTCGTGAACTCAATGGTGAAGACGGGGAACGTGATCACGAACTTGATAAACGACGTCATGGACGGGAGAGAGAAGAGACGGTTCCCGTTGGAGACGAGGTCGTTCGAGCTGCATTCGATGATCAAAGAAGCCGCGTGCCTCGCCAAGTGCATATGCGCGTACAAGCGGTTCGGGTTCTCGGTCGACATCGACCGGTCACTACCCAACCACGTCATGGGAGACGAGAGGAGGGCATTTCAGGTCATTTTGCATATGGTAGGAAATCTTTTGAAGAACCGTAGTTGCCAAGACGGGGGGTGCCTTATGTTTCACGTGGGGCCCGAAAGGTCGAACCCGTCTAGCGAGAATGTGTACGTGAGGTTTGAAATCGGGATCCACGGGACGAATCATTGTCCGCCCGCCGGGGCTGTGATGCATCACAATGCCTTGAGTTCTAATCTTCCCATGTATTGTGGGAAGAATTTTGAGGAAGGCTTGAGCTTCAGGGTCTGCAAAAAGCTGGTTCAGGTATTTCTCTTTTTCTTTGCTGTTTTTTTAAAAAATTGGATTTGATTTACAGTATAAAATTTTTACTCCAAATTGTGCAGATGATGCAAGGAGACATCTGGGTATACCCAAATCCGGTGGGTTTCGATGAACTCATGGCCATCGTTCTCGGATTTCAACACCGGCCGTCAATCGCCGTCGGCGGGGATTCCTCCTCCTCTTCCTCAAACCACCGCCGCCAGCCACCGTCGAACCCTCATCTCCTCCGGGGACTCAACGTTCTGTTAGCGGACTACGACGACGTCAACAGATCCGTGACCCGCCGCCTCCTCGAGAAACTCGGATGCGCCGTCTCCGCCGTCTCCTCCGGCCACGCATCTCTCGGATCCCTGGGCCCCACCGCTTCCGCGTTTCAAGTCGTGATCTTGGATCTCCACCTCCCAGATCTGGACGGGTTCGAGGTCGCCATGAGGATCCGGAAGTTCCGGAGCCGGAACTGGCCGTTAATCGTCGCTTTAACGGCGAGCGATGACGTTATTGGGCGGTGTTTCCAGGCTGGATTTAACGGCGTTATCTGTAAACCGGTGGTTTTGTATGAAATCGCAGACCAACTAACCCAAGTTTTGTTGAAGGCCAGAGGCCAATATCAGAGAGAGTGAGAATTTGGGGGTATGGTAAAAAAATTATGGTAAATGACTTCTTACTGGTTTAGTAAAAAAAAATTTACCTTCAGTTTGAAGTCCTTTGATTATACGAGAAATGCTAGTCATAAACTAAACGTTCACAAGATTATTAATATTTTTACTATTACTATATTCATCCCACATTTGGTTAAGGCCTTATTCTTTTGTGTTGGAATTTCAAAATAAAACCAACATTCATATTTCTTTATAATCAAATCATGGTTTAATCGTAGTAAATAAAACAAATATTGCGGAAGCCTTTTAAGAAACCACATCTTAAGCTTTAAAGATATTTTTGTTTCATCTAGGTGGTCCTTTGTAAAACAGGAAAGTAATTTCCCAAATTTTCATCTCGCTAGATTAATGATTGGTAGTGATGAAAAAGTCTGGTTGGGTCGTCTTCACCGACTATTAATCTTTTTGTTATGACTAATGCATTAATAAATTGATGTTTCGGTTGGCCTTGTAAAAAACAAAGCATAAACTGCAAAAGTTTGAAGACTATCAGCTTGATATCTTTATCTGATCTAGTTAATGTGGTTTGATTTTGTTAAGGTCTGATCGTGTATAATATGATCTAATTGTGGCCGTATTTAAATTTATTTCTGATCTAGTCTGCCTAATTTGATCTGATTCAAATAAAATTAATAATAAACGATGAGTAAGTTGTAAAGAACAAATTCTATACGACTAACTTTTGAGATGTTCTATTCCCTTCGTCTCGATGTATTTATCCATTTTTTATTTTTTCCAACTTAAATTAGTAAATTTTGACTCCAAATTAAATAAAAATAGTATTATTAGTTTTCAAAAAAACAAAGATTTATAATTAGTTTTCCTTTGTATTAGTTTTCAAAAAACCAAAGATTTATATAAATATTAATCAATGCATATGATTATTGAAAGTACACCTTTTATTTCAAAAAAGATATCGTATCTAATAATTACAAAACATTTATACAATGCATGCTAGATACTCCCTAGCCCAATTTATTCTTCCCATTTGAAGAAAAACATGTAAATTCTTATTTCTTTTGGAATTCTTTTATTTATGAATAAAAATACAAATCATAATTTTCAAAACTACATTTAAAAATCTACAAAATAAGATGTTATAATAATATTTTATTTTATCAATTTATCAATTTTAACTTGCATGCAAACATAAATTATCAAAAGGCTGTAAAAATAACCAAACGGTCCATTTACCTCTAATTACTAGTTAAGCTCACTAGTTACTATTGGCGAAACCTCACTCGTTACTATTGGTGAAGAGAATTTCATGTCTTTGCTTATCGGTCAGTGAACTCGGTCACACTTAAGCTCAAACGGTCCATTTACCTCTAATTGCCGGGAGTGGTGCATTGCCTAGGCTTTTTTACTTGATATTTTACATAAGAGTAATTCCATAAAAGGTCCCCAGTTATAAGTCGTTTTACATATTTAGTCCCTACATATCAAATATTACTAATTTGGTCCCCAATTATTATATTTATTTCTACGAATGGTCCTTTGTTAACATTTTCATTAAAACGTGGATAAAATTATAAATTCACACTCCTTTCTCTCCTCAATTAAGCTTTCTCCTCCCTTGTACTCCTTTCTCAAACCCGTCGCTGAGTTTCTAGCTTTGAACCCTAAACCAAAATCATCACTCTTNAGTAAATTCCATAAAAGGTCCCCAGTTATAGGTCGTTTTACATATTTAGTCCCTACATATCAAATATTACTAATTTGGTCCCCAATTATTATATTTATTTCTACGAATGGTCCTTTGTTAACATTTTCATTAAAACGTGGATAAAATTATAAATTCACACTCCTTTCTCTCCTCAATTAAGCTTTCTCCTCCCTTGTACTCCTTTCTCAAACCCGTCGCTGAGTTTCTAGATTTGAACCCTAAACCAAAATCATCACTCTTCTCTCAATTGTTTGTCTAACTGGAGGAACGATCATTTAAATTTTGGGTTTAAGAGCTTCAAACTCAGAGACGAGTTTGGAAAAGAGTATGAGAAGATGAAGAAATCTTAATTGAGGAGAGAGAGAAGTATGAATATACAATTTTATCCACGTTCTTAACGGAAATGTTAACAAAGGACCATTCGTGGAAATAAATATAATAATTGGGGACTAAATTAGTAATATTTGATATGTAGGGACTAAATATGTAAAACGACCTATAACTGGGAACCTTTTATATAATTTACTCTTTACATAATAATTAATCTCTTCGTCTTTCTTTAAAAAAAGGAGAGATTTACGTTGTCACACAACAACTGCCACATTATCGTTTGTTGTTGCCGGGCACCAGAGTGTCGCCACGGTCTTATGGTAACACCACCCTACCATTATAATCATATTTAGCGTATTAAACAAGGTGTCTCCTATTTTAATATTTTAGTTAAATTTACTTCTGTCCAAGGATATTATAAAAAACTTCATATTTTCTTCATCTTATAAATTGGATGACATATCATACAGTAACAAGTCATTATTTCGTATCATTTTTATACTTTTTAAACTTATTTTAACTATTAAAAATTAGAGTTTTTGCTAGTCTTTTCTTTTGCCAGAAATATAGATGTATTCCTTTTATTACAAAATTGAAGAAAAGGCTTCTTTTCTTGTTCAAAAAAGAAAACTAACTTAATCACGCGATAAAGGTGACACGCCATGCCACCCAACCAAAAATCTAGCCTTCCGTCCCTCTAGATTCTTCCTCCTAAATTATTCCGATATTTAATTAAAGTTATTTTTAAATGAAATTTAATAATAAAAATTAAAAATTATATCAAAAATTTTATAAAACAATAAAATTATTTTATTTTATCAAATAATCAAAGTAAAAAAAAAGTTAATAAAATTTGTCGTGAATAATAATTTGGTAGATTTTTAGAGGGAAGGAAGGATTAGGTGGCAGGGCGAGGGAAGGCTCCTTCGTCGCCGCTGCCAGTCCACGCACAGATATATAAACAATTGTACGGAGCATTATCTTCCATCTCCCTCCCACGATGTGCAGTTTAGAGAAGAGAGGCGACATTTTCTATCTTACGCTGACCGGCGTCGACGAGCACCGCCTGAACCCGGCTCTCATATCCTCCATTGCCGCGTCGCTAGCGGGAGTCAAGTCCAAAGCGGATCGGGGTTCCGTGCTGATCACCAAAGCAGAGGGAAATTTCTTCTCCAATGGCTTCGACTTCAAATACGCCCAGGCCGCCGGCTCGCCCGAGGCCGCCATGGATCGGCTGAAGCACATGGTGGAGGCGTTCAAGCCGGTCGCAGCGGAGCTGATCTCGCTCCCTATGCCGACCATCGCCGCCGTCACCGGACACGCCGCGGCGGCGGGGATGATGCTGGCGATCTGCCACGACTACGTCGCGATGAGGTCGGACAGAGGAGTCCTGTACATGAGCGAGCTGGATCTAGGCCTACCTCTGCCGGAGTACTTCACGGCGCTGATCCGATCGAAGGTGGGATCGCGCGCCGCCCGGCGATCGCTGGTGCTGCAATCGGCGAAGCTGAGGGCGGGGGAGGCGATAGGGCTGGGGCTGATCGACTCGGCGCACGCTGGCGCGAAGGAGACGGTGGATGCGGCGGAGCAATTGGCTGAGACGCTGTCGAAGCGGCGGTGGGACGGCAAGATCTATGCGGATTTGCGGAAGGCGTTGATTCCGGAGGTTTGTTTGGTATTTGGTTTGACTGAAAATGTGTTGCCTTCCCGACTCTGAAAGTTGAAATGAAGAAATAGTACTGCTCCTATGGTCCTTATACTATTCGTCTCTTGCCGATCTACGGCTTCAATAATTGTGCAATATCAATACGGAGTAGTACTTTTTTGCAATATCAGTAATTCAAATATTTCATGTCAAAAGAGTTTTGGGGAAATTGTTTTTTTTAAATACTACGTATAAATTAATTTTCAAAAAAAAAATATTTTTTTAACATTGCATTTGAAGAAGAATTGTCTTACCAAGTAGTAATACTAATACTCGCTGCTCAAGTTTAAATATACACTTTTATTTCATTTGTCTAATATTAATTGTTCATTTTCAATATTTAATAGACAAAGTATGATAAAAGAAAATATCTCTAGAGATATACTCCAATATGAACATTCCTTCTTGTATGAATATGAAAAAACTCAAACTCTATCGAAAATATATAAACAGATAATACATTACAATAGAGTTATTAGTGTTTAAAAAAATAGGAACAAAGAAAATTATAATACGCCCCCTTCCTCTCTGGCTTCATCAAAGTGCAACTTTTAAATTCTTAGGTGAGGTAAAAGCTTAAAACCATTACAATACAAAAGTTAACAAGTACAAGTTTTTTTTCACGTGAGACGAATGGAAACATGCTTTATATGGATGTTTCTGTGTAATTATAAACTGGTCAAAACTGTTTATAAACTACTTTTAATTTATAAGTCAGTTGATGACATGTTTCTCTGTATTTATAAATTTGACTTATAAACACCTTATAAGTTAGAAAAAATATAAAGATTTTACGTACTTATTTTTAAGCCAGTTTTTTCAAAGTCTCATTTCGAAACCCCATTTTAGCCGCGGCTCATGACATGTCTCACTTTTCATCATAGGTAAAAATCTACTAGTATAAGCAAGAAGAAAAACAAACCTTAGACACCTACTGGGTTTTAAGGTGGTGCATATGCAAATTGTGTTTTCATGTCATAAGCATAGATTAGTTACTAACACAAATGGACAACTTGTACATGTACAAATTGTGTTTTCATGTTATAAGCATAGATTAGTTACCAACACAAATGAACAACTTGTTCTTACTGGGTTGGGGGTAGTGGAAAGGCTATGAAGAGTTGATGAAAGCCAAAGAGTGTGCCTGAATATAATAAGAATCCTTGTATTTCCTCCCACTCCCGATGTGGATTCCGTTCCGGATCCAGTCCTCCCTGTGAATCCATCCGTCTCGTGTGAAATCCAGAATCCCCAGAATCTGCATGTGTGTTCATAACAAAAATCTTTAAATTTCCAGTATCTGCATGAGTCTTTATAAGAAAAATCTCTAAACTTGGTAATCTTAGAGCCCTAATATGTATAAAACCTGAAACAGCAAACACGAAGGGAAAAAAAAGGAAGAATGTATCTTACTGCTCCTCCTTTCCATGGTACGAAAGCCGGATTTGTTCTTGATTGCAATACCTGATGATGATGAAGATGGTGATGATGAAACAATGAAAAGCGGATGAACGTGGGAAAGACGTATAAGAATGAGGTAACCTCTACTGTGTCAATTGCTTCATGGGAAGGAATGGCATGTAAAACTCTGCAATGAAGCAGAAAAAAGTGCACATCACACTCCATTCTTAGAATTAAAAGCCCACCCAAACAATGGAATTTTGGAAAGAGCTTTTGAACAAACCTTTCCTCAACTGCAGGAATGAGGCCATCAATCAATGCAACTCCACCAATCTGAAGCATCCAAAGATATGTGTTACTCAACATGATATTTTTATTATAGTGACTTAATGAACCCACAGCGTCTACGATATCTCACCAGTTGCATGCTACAAAACAGCTTTCTCTGAAGTTCTATTCGCCCTGTGAATCAAAAGCTCAAAAGATGAGGTTTAGAGTTTGTTCTCTTCCACTTATTCTTATTACTTATTACTATTGGCTTCACACCAGATCGGATCATAAACAGCTTTAAGTACAACTACAATTACACCATATTAGAACTTATTCCAATTAGATCAGAATCAATCAGATCAGGTGAAGAGAAGAAGCCCTTAGGGTAAAAGAATGCATGTCTTAAATATCACATGCATGCTAAATTTCACTGGATAGTTCGAGCACCTGTTGAAAGAATGCTTTTTGTGATAGCTTCTGCAAGACCGATACTGTCTTCCCTCTTTGGTTTTGATCGGAAAACGGGATAACTCTCCCACATGGGAAATGCCCCTGGAAGATCAATTTGACAGGCATCTTCAAGCATATCATCATAGTCATTAAACCTGGCAATGAAGAAGAACTTTTTGCTCAAAATGGGGGATATAAGTCATATAACAAACATTTTGGAGACGATATGTTAATGTTGTTTGATGCAAAGAAATTAGACCGTTGGTAATGGGGAGTTTAATCCCTAGTTCACGCAAAATGCCGCCCCACAGCACTGCCCCTTGAGGCGTGAAAAGTTTAAAAAGCATGAGCAGCGTTATCCATTTCATGGGTGAAGATTAAAACCATTAAATAATTTTTTTTAAAAAAAAATCTAAGTGTCTAAAATTGCAGGTCAACGGCGGAGCCTACAATGGACGTCCACGATTTTAGCAGCTTTGATTCCTTTGAAGATGGAGGTCGTGCCAGCAAACACTATGTATTAAAATTTTTACTTTTAAAAATTTTGGTGAAATATTTTAGGGTGTTATTAATTGTTTTCAAGTTTAATTTTTATTTTAAAAATAGTTGAATTTAAAATATGTAAAATTATTTAATAATTGGGTAATGATTGAAGAGACTTAAAATGCACATGAACCACTACATACTTTTTTTTATTCAAAATAGGTATGCTGACGTGAAGTCCACATGGCGAAAAAACGCCCAAAATTGACTTAAATCACTACACATGGTCTTAAGAAGATTGCTTACCAAGAACGAGGCGGGGGCGGATATACATCCGGAACTAAAAGTGTTGGATAGAATAAACCCATTGGGGGTACCTGTATAAACAATTATTGATTGGAAACTTTGGTTTTTATCACAAGTGAGAACCACTATGCCTAAGCAAAAAATATAGGAGACCAACAATAAGAATCAAATCATTACTTTACGAATGACCTACATTAAGAGCAGTTAGCCTTGTCTTGTGAGATCCAGGTACCATCCCATCTTCATATGAATGAACCTGGGTAACTGCTTCAACTTCACCCTCCTAAATATATGCAAAAAAGAAAGGAAAGAAGAAGGGTAATCATAAAGTTAGCATCTTAATGAATGCATCAAAAATCTCATTATGTACGGGAAGAGTTATACTGCCTCCGTCCCAAAAAGAGCTTAATCAAACTATCAAAGTGCATATTTTATTAGATGTCGGTAAGGACCAAGTGTACAACTGCCATAAATTATGACTTACGTTCCTAAAATTTATTGGTTGGTTTAACTAAATTTGTCATATATAACCATTTGTCCATGATTTATTTTTGACACATTACATGGAAAACAAGGTTTGTTTGATCAAGCACGAATTTTTTATTAGTAAAATGCTTCATCGTTTTAAGATTTTAAATGCTTTTATTTTTAAAGGATGGTTGCTTTACATTTTGAATAATTGAATTATGTACATGCTATAATGATAAATTTTCAGGATTGGATGGATGAATGGGTAGAAGTTGAAGAATCAGGCAACAATGGCTGGCAATACCTATATCAGTAGAAGCTTGAATAAAAGATAAAGGATAATAAGTGCTCACTCTGATAACACAATAGGACTCTCTAAGTTTGTTCAGGATTAGCAAATCTACAGGCTTTGCAAGAGCATCAGTTCTAATCGGCGGCCATGTTTGGTGATGCCTCTGAGTCCACAGAAGGCATCTTGATATATCCTGTAACAATACAGACATTTTTACTGATGAAATTACCAGAAATGCGAACAAGCCAAAATATTATTTCGAAGGAATAAATAATCTAAATGATATAAATATATGTTAACATGCCACAATGAAAATATCCAATGACCTTATCTTCAAAGGATATAATTATTGAAACAATGGCTGGATAAGCACACACAAGAATGTGGAAAAAAACAGAAGTCCCTGAACAATTAACAAATTTGAAGATAAATAAATAAATAAATAAATAACACTGCTCTCACCTCTCCACCATAACGTAGATTGATTTGTGTCGTAGGAAGAGCTACTCCATCCTGGACATCAAAAATGGCCAATCACAAAGTTTAGCGGATGAAAGATATATTTGAAAAGAAAAAAAAGTCATGTGCATTCCTTGAAAATAGTTGAGTGTATTTTTCCGCATCCAATTCAGCCACTTGAAGAACTATATAAAATGCCCTATAACTTCATCGGAGCTTTTGTTTCAATCATAGAAAAACAATTATTATATGCGACAACGAACATACCTCAACACAAACTACCGATGTCACCTGAGCACCAATATTTACAATGCATGCTGTTGATAAACCATTGCCAAATACTGCAGCAAGACCTTCCTGGTATTGACTCGGCGTAGAGTAATGGAGACAACATGAGATCCCAAATAGGTGTGATCATGGAAACGAAGATTATGGGATTCAATAAAGAACAGATTCCACACTATTTTCTCATGGGTGCAATGCATGAAAAGAAAATAAAGATTTGAGTGGCTCAAGAAAAAACGATGATGCACTTGTACATAACTGCATATCCCAGTTGGAAACATATCAGGCTTAATTGTAACACATACCCCCCCCCCCCATCCCCACCCCACCACCAGCAAAAAATCATTCTTTTAAGTTTAGTAAAAGTGAAATAAAGATCACCTGATGAACTACCACTGAACTGAACCGCAAATCCCGCAAAATAATAGATATCATTTCTTTTATTTCTGAAATAAAGAAAAGAAAAATTGATGTGAAATAAAAGCAGGGGCGGCACATAATTTTACAAGCAATTCAAAATAATTGAAGGCTTCATGGAAACAAAATTAAGGATGGCCACATGGAGTATTGGACTACTGGAGTGAATTGTAAATCCCAACGATGTTGGGGTATGGGGGTCAAGATGTTTTCAACTATACCACTGTATAAGAGAGAGTTTGTTTCCGTTATACTCGAGTCCACGTGATACATTTACTTTCCAAAACTTCATAACATGATAAGAAGCAAGGGAAGTTTAAAACTTTCCATTTTGATCTAGCCCATTATCAACTCGAATTTAAAACATTGTTAAAATGGCTCTATTAGCAATGAACAACAAGACGAGCAGTATAAACACTTAAACAGCTATCATTTTCATATGAGTTACAAATGATAAACAATGCATATGCCCATTCTATACAATGAAATGGGAAAATCCAAAAGGGCTGCCCAAAAATCACCAAGATACAACAACAAAAACTTGTCGCATTGTTACCTCGATTATCAAATGTTTCTGGAACAACAAGAACAGCAGAATACATGTGTCTTTGATCGTGAGGGATATTCAACTTCTCAATCAAGATCCAATCCCATAAAGTATGGAGATCCTCAAGAACCTAAGATATGAAGAAGTACAATAAGAGAATGTGGATCTTCACAAACTCCAAAACAAATACATTGTTCACACTTTGAATTAATGCACAAAATCTTGAATAGACAAATTCGATCTTCTTGAATATCTTATAGCTACTACAGGGTTGTACAATGTGTGAGAGCTAGTGTGTGAATTCGAAGTACGTGAATTTACTTCTATATGTGTTACATGGTTTTCAACATGCCATGAATTCAAGATGAAGATCCATGGGTTATTAATGAATTGTTAAGTAAATAAGTCAGGAGATAGTACCTGTTGCGTAGAGTAATGTTGAGATATATTAAGGTGTCCACGACGAATTGGGCGACGCAAGCAATATGGTTCACTGGGAGAAATTCTCAAAGCGTCTTCACCGCATATGTACTCTTTATACTTGCGTCCCCCTGAACTGAGTTCTGCAGTGCTGTTGCTTCCATTTGTGATGGGGATCTCACTAGTTTCATCATTGGTCGTGTCACAATTTCCTGTAAAATGGTGAAAACACTGATCCTTATCAACTACACAAAATAAAACAATGTGTGCGTGTACAATGCATATATATATATATATATATATATATATATATCCAAACAAAACAAACCCAATATATCCCACTCAAGAGGTAAGTATGTGGGGGCAAGATGTGGGCAGACCTTACCTCTACTTCAAGGAGTAGAGAGTAGCGAGGTTGTTTCAATATGGAGAACAGAGTCTATTGCAAAAGTGATGGGCATGTTTCTTTCTCTAACCTAATGGTCCTTGCTCAATGCACAAGCTTGAGCAATTTTCTACGAGTATCACATAATATTCACTTTTTCGGTGATGCAAACAAAAGAACCTTGTTCATAAAAATGCAATGAAAAACCATTGAGTATCTATTAGTAAGTGGAAAACTTAGATATGCATGCACAAAGATATTTCAAGAAAAACAAAGAGAAAATTTAGAAGCAAAAGTTGAACATGTTAATGTCACCAACTAAGTACTCATAAATAAACTTCAGGCAAGACACTGGGAAACATATATGGAGTTCTCTCACCTCCTGCAAGAGGTGGACGGATGTTCTCAAACACTTCAGTCCAAGTGAATGGTGTCTCCTTGTAATGATGTGGGTGATGTGCATCAGCACGACCCATCTGCATTCCAAGGGGATTAACAAAGAAACGTCATCGGATCTGGCAGATCCATGATCATGAAGAAACATGATCTCAGTTTAGTTAGTGAAAGGGGAAATGTCAAAGAAAATTTGTGTGATTAATGTGTACCTTCCGGTGAAAAGAGCTATTAGCAGCCTCCTCATCCAAATATGGAATTTTTAAAAGTGATGCAATCTAAAAACAAATAACGTGTCAAACTCAACAAAAAAGAAACTGTTATAAGTTAAAAAGATAGCAGCATCTACAGAGTAATCGAGCATGAGCACTGCATCTAACAATGTCATAAGCCTTTTCCCGCTCCATGTGTTGTGCAGTTGTCACTTGAGAATTGAGCATCTAAAAACCAAGAACACATGTGCGCGCACACAAAATTAGTGTAGCCAGACAACTCTCCTCTCTTATAATAAAAAAATGCCATGAAAATAAGCTAATTTTCCCCTTATACAAGATACACTGACTTGATCTTGGACATGTCTTTTAGGAACTTGGCTGGTTCGCCTAGCAATGCAATGTGGGATGTTCAGTGGATTATCCTGTTGAGCCTGTCCTACTCGAATATTTGCAGAACCTGAGCATTGCAATCACAACTGCACATTATTAAATATGTTGAACTGCGGCAAATGCGGTTGTGCTATACATGATTAAATCATATATAGATAAAGAAAGGATGGGGTATTCATGTTTTTTATTTGGAGCATGTGAAAATATAGGGATTTGAAAGGACCTGGATTAATGACTAAGAGATTGGAGCCACGCTCCGCGAGAAGTTGAGAAGGAACTACTGTTTTCAGGTAGTCCTGGTAAAACGCCATAACTGCTTCAAGATTCAGCGGCGGCACACCTGTTTGAGTAAAAGAAAGCTTTCAACACTTTTCCTACTCAATTTGAATTGGATGGTGCATTAACTATTTTTTTGAAGGCAACCACAAAAGTTTCATGCAAGCAAAAAGATGTCTGGCTCATATGTCATAATGATTTAGTACAATATATCAAGTTGTAACACTTAATTATACAAACAATAAGGTTGCAAGTTATCACCAACAAGGCTCGATTTATTTGACACTAGGCTTGGAAGGGGTTGGATAGGGTGGGTTGCCCAAGGGGTGCCCCTCCTGATGCCGATATGGAAGAGTGGGAAAGCTTAAGTTTCAAAGATAGGGGTGGGGGGTTTGTGGAGGATGGGGTGTTAGGAGGATAGGACTCGATTTGGGGCCCAATGGAGCCCCTTAAGGTTTAGCTCCAAATGATTTTGGTGTAATATTACGACTCTGATGCTTGGTGTCAAAAGAATCATGCCACACAAACATATACTCTGTATTATACTCCATCTGTCCCTAAATAAACCTTATCTATATCTATGAATTTATGTCCAATAGTACATTCACTATACTATGAACAAAAAAATGCATTGAAAATATTGATGCAGTCCTCTCCAAAATGCATATGGAAGCAACTTATTATATGTGTAATCTCATCCTTCCATAAAGTAGCTAAGCTCAATAAGTTTGTTTAAGGGTGTGATTTTGGAACTAAGATAATAAACTAGTTGAGAGTATTTTTGGGAAAACTAATACTAGCAATCACCAAATCAGCGATTTGCAACGCTAGGGGAAAAAACACCTAAATTTTATGTTAAACTCACATAGAACTACACAAAACCATATAACTAAGCATCCCAAACATGTTTGTAGATGGTTTTGCACAAAAACTTGCATCAATTTCCATTACTACATTTGTGTCGCTCCATATTTTCCATGTTTGCTCACACTATAATTAGAGAGAGTCATATCAGTTCATAGAGCTGCATATCCATAAAAGCAGCTAATGCCCATTAATACTGCTACTTGGTTTAAAGATTACAAGTCACAAGAGAAACATATCACAGTGCCTTCTACTTGCAGAAAATTGGATTGATATAAAGAAAGCTCAAGCCAGGAAAATGACACTTATAAGATATGAGTCAGGTTGGGCGTACCGGGATCTTCTCGTCCTTCGGAGCCCTTGCTGCCCAAACCGGTGCTCTCGTCCCGTCGTCTCTGGCTGATCCAATCTTCCCCCCTCCGATCAAACAAGCCCTGAAATCGACCGATGTCTACTTCAGTTTGAAATCTAAATGGAATCATAAAATCTTCAAAGGGTGATTTAAATACTCATTAATGTTTACCGCGAGGCGCGAGCTTTTGGAAATGGTCTCAATCTGAGCAGGGAGAAAGGAGAAGAAACATCCCACTGAGGAAACGCAATTAACGGAAGAAGAGCAAATATTAATGTAACTTTTAAAATACTTCCTCCCTACACAGATTTCTTTTCACTATTCATATGGTCAAACTTTATTTTTTTTGTTGATCTATTTTTATCACTCATTTGATAAAATAATATAGTCATGTAACTTCTAGTTTTGTAGATATTTTGATATAATTTTTTATATGTAGTTTTTATTTTTAAATTTTATACCATTTTTCATATAAAATGATTTGAAAATAACTTCAGTCAAACATCGTAACACGCAACGAGAAGTTTATTTTTGGACGGATAGAGTACATTGTTTATTTTTTTATTTTATATCAATATTAAAAGATATATGTTCAAATCTAACTTCATTTTAACTTATCATAAACAAATACGCATATGAAATTTATTTAGAGATGAAGGAAATAACATATTAATTAATTGAAAGTTTTGTTATAAATGAAGAAATAAAGATACAGAATTAGGAAAAAATATTATTATAAAAATGAATACTATTATTTCATTATTAAATTTATTCAAAGATTTCATAGCACAAAAATTATTTCATATTTTATGTCTTAAGTTAGGTGACATATTAGGTGTAAAAAAGCAACATAAATATGCACACGTCAACTTTCTAATGATAAAACTTATCTTTTTATATAAAGAATTTATTGAATAAGTTTATACAGTAGTACTTGATAACTCAATGTAAAGGATTTTTTGAATTTTTTTAAATAATTTTATTTTTGATGAAAAGTTAAAGTTTAATCTCATTTCAAGTATTATTGAATGGACTCTAGTTCATTTATCAAATGTCACATACAATGCACCATATTATGTCTCATGTATACCTCATATTATGCCACATGTCGAGCTTTTATGCATTGGAGATTTGGAGTCTCAAATTTATACGTATATAAAAGATAAAAGATTTGATTTAAATGGTTGATCATTTAAAAAAATAATCTAGGCACCTATTGTTTTATAGAATATTAATTTAAAGATTAAAACATCCAAAGTACTTTTATTTAATTTTTTATATTTAAAAAAATAAAATAAAATAAACTTCATTTAAGCATATTATAAACAAATATGAAATTTATTTTGAGGTGAAGAGAGTTTATCTTTTTTAAGGAAGGAAATTTTATTTATTTTATTGAAAGTTTTATTAGTAATGAAATGGAAAAATATTGACAAAGAGAGAAAACGAAACTTTGCAAGCCGACATGCATGGAAAGTTAAAAATTAAAATGAGGACCAACTGACCAAGTACTCCCTCACCTAAATATAGTTGCCCCATTAATCTGGGTCCATTCCACTTTATTAAAGAGAGTATTACATACACCTCAACCTTTTTTTAATACATTTAATTAATATCTTTATAAGACCTTTTTTCAAATGAAACAAATTAAAATAATAAATCAATTATCCCGTAAATATTTTTCTAATATAATAAATCAAATATCCCGTAAATATTTTTCTAATATTGAGTAAATGCTTATTAATAACATAAGAAAATTTTTGTGCACCTTAAATACACATAAGATTTTAAGATTATGTCTCAAATTAAAATTTTCAATTCTTTTACACAAACATTTAAAAAAAGGAAAGAATGTGAGATGTTTGGTTTGAGATAAGGAAATATTGGTAAATGATGGGTCACAAATATGGAGTTTGCACTCAACTAGAGTTTTCAATCTGAAAATTAAAATCAATTGTTAAAAGTTTAGAGTCTAGAAACGAAAAATTAAAATTTGAAACATTGGAATGAGAAAACAATTCTTAGGATTTCAATGACAAGTTTTGTAGGATTGATATGGTATGAGTTATGGAATTGAAAATCAAAACGGGTTATGAAATGTATTTATTGTGACATGCTAGATGGACACCAAACACAATTTTGTTTCTAAATTCTACATCCGCACGTGTAGCTTAAAAGATCTTGAGAGACGGGTGTCAAGACCGAAGTCTTTGAATCAATGTGATATTTTTTTGTCGACATCACCAAATACGGTACAATCTCTCAAAAGATCATATTAAGATTATAATTGATTTTTTTTAGGTGTGCTAATGGTTAACCAAGTTTATACCTCAACTTGCACACGAAAATGACGAAATGCATCACAAATACATGCAACACTTATCTATGTGTGTTTGTGGTATATTTTGTACACAAGCTATGATAAGAACTTCGTGTACCCTAGTTTTTTGTGCTAAATTTCACATTCTAATGTCAAGGATCTTGTAACCAAATGGCTGTGTCACGATTCTCTCAAATGAGAGCTCATATGTTTCATCTCTGGTGATATACAATTACTCAATGATCTTCAACAAGTTGAAATTTATAGTCATATTCCCCTCAATTTATTTTTTAGTTATTACTTATTTTTATTTGAATCAGATCAGAAACAACTTTAAATATAATTATATTAAGATTAGATCAAAACTTATTCCAATTAAATTAATAAATCATACGAAGAAAACATGACGGTATGTACAAATACCCCGGAGTATTATTTTCTAATAGAATTATTTTTTTTAAAGAAAATTCTTATTCAAAATTTCAAATACACGTCATATGACATAATTGGTCGACGAGACGTGTTACCCTGCCGCGCGAGTCCACTTTACAATAAATAACCCTCATCGTCTTCCTTTCCTTCCCTATTCCGTAGCTATCTGTTTCTGTCCCCTTCGGATTTCCCTAGAGAGAGCGAGCGAGCGAGCGAGAGAGAGAGGCCCGAGGCTAACTAAATCCATGGCTTTCTTGTCATTCATCGGGAGGCTTCTCTTCGTCTCCGCCTTCATCCTCTCGGCTTACCAAGAGTAACTTCATTTCTCCTCAATCGCTGCCCATTTACTGTGTTTATACGCTTCAATGCTTGTTTGGATGTCCGATACTTGATTTTTTACGCGTCGGAGTTGTTTAATTTCCTTTTTTATGGTGTTTGTTTTGAGAAACCTTCGATTCTATTGCCTTTTCAAGCTTGAAGTTTAGATCTGATGATCTTGACCTGCACGAATTTGATGCATGATACAGTTAGATTCTGTTTTATGTGTTCAATGTGGTGTCTATATCTGTTAATTACGGTGTGACTGGCTTTTGATTGGTTGAATAAAAGTGAACATTCTCGCTTTTTTGGCATTTGCACCCATTGCACGTATGGAATCAGCATTGATCTCATATTAATAAATTGTAAACCATTTTTGTAGCATTAACTGTCAATTAAATTGTGTATCCGGATGTACGTTGGATCTCTTTTCTTTTTGTCTTTCTGTTCATTCCCCCCTGAAGAAGAGATCCGGATATACATTCAATTTTTCTCCATTTCTCTGAATAATGTTCATTTGCAGATGTTGTATGTATCTTTATTACTGGTATTAGTACATTCGGATTCCGGATGTATTGCATAGTCAATGACATTGACTAAGTAGCAATGCTTAAATCAATACAACACATGTCATAGTGACGGAGGATAGTTTATTATTATATACCATCCCGAAGTATAGCGTGCGCATTGATATTAACCAAGTAATAACACTTCAATCAATCAGACAGTCATAAGTGAGAGTGACGGTGGAAAGTAAAGATCCAAATGTGTTAAGCCTTTCCACCTTTTGTTTTTCTCTAGTTTATACTAATAAAGCTAACTTAAAATTGTTATTCATTTCGCCCAGACATTGCTAATCTTTATTTGTTGCTTCTATTTGTAAACTTTGAATGTATGCCCAAAAAGTGCCTTGGTTTTGATTGTTTAAGAGCAGCTAGACACTGATGACAGAATCCTTTCCATCTAATGTAGATCACAATGTTTGAATGGTTTCCAGTCTAATCAATGATTTAGAAACATCTGCCATCCCAAGTTATATTGGTTAAATTTCAATTTGAAAAATATTCCACATTTGCTCTCCCTGTTATTACTTACTAGCTCATCCATTTTTTGTGGTCACCAATTTTCATTTCTCTCAATTTAAGTGTGCGTCGGTGGATTTTATTACACTGTTGGTCCTTTCTGGTCTGTTAATTGGTGAAAAGCAACTGGAAATTGTAAGAAATTTGACTGGACAAATGGTATGTAGAACCCAAAGTGGAAAGAAATCTATAGTGTGCACTGAAAGTAACAAAACGGAAAGTCGAGGCCCAAGAGTGAGGATGGCATGATTATTGTGCAAAAAAGTGTTTCTTCTTTCAACCTCTGCTGAATTAAATTTAAATATTTAATTATTTATCATGTCTTGCACATTTCTAATTGTCTGTAGGTTTAGTGAATTTGGCACTAATGGTGGGCCAGCTGCAAAAACTTTAAACTCCAAATTCAATGTGTTTACTAAAAATGTAGCAGCACACACTAGCATTAAAGTTCCCCATGTTGAGGTAATAATGATGCCATTTCCATTTGTTCTTTCAAGTTTCAACTGGTGTTAGTTATCAGTCTAATTTGTCTTATAATGTATTAATTGTATGCATCACAGGCGAAGCATCTTGTTTTGGGCTTTCTCCTTATGAAGGGGCTTGGAAGCCTTCTCTTTGTCTTTGGAAGCTCTCTAGGAGCCTATATTCTGGTATATACAATATATGTTCATCCTTTTTTATTTTTCGTAATTCTTAAAAAAAAAGAATCCTTTCTAAAGATCCATTTTTTCTCCCGCCCATTGTTCAGCTTGTGCATCAGATTGTTGTTACCCCGATTCTCTATGACTTTTACAATTATGATGCCGACAAGAAAGAATTTGCTCAACTTTTCATCAAGTTTTCACAGGTAATGAGGGAACTCCCTTTCTTTGTATTACTTGTAGTATAGAGAAATCTTCATATCTAGGGTCTGTTTGGAACGTGGAAACTACCGAGGAAAGAAAATAAACATCTGTTAACTTTTGCCAAAATTTTTCAAGGATCCAAAGGAAGATAAACCATTGCCATTCCTTTCAAAATCCTTGAACCAAACATAGTGTTAGTGACACCTCTGTTGGTTTTCCAGGGTTTGCAGCTGCTCGGGGGACTGTTGTTCTTCATTGGCATGAAGAATTCGATTCCCAGGAGAACAGTAGTGAAGAAGAAGGCTTCCAAGTCGAAAACCAATTGAGGAATTATAGGTTTGGAATTTTTATGTGCGCTAAATTAACGTGTTTTCAATTGTTACATGGACCATGTTTTGTAAGCTTTTTATTTTGGTTTGCTCTACTTGGGAGCTTTGAATTCCATCTCCTGGTCAGACGTTTTATCACTTTTGATGAGATTTTTTTTTCTTTTTGAATTTTAATTGGTATTAAATTTACAAAAGGAGCAGGTGGAAGTTTAATTGCCATTAATATTTGATATCTTAGAAGTTGAATTTTCGTTAAAATAGTGGCTTGATTTATTCTTCATTGGTTGCCTCAGGAATAAATTGCATTTGAATGAAAAGTTGACTTTTGCATGTCTCTTAATTCTTTAAAATTGAAATATTTCTTTTCTACTGAGATTTTACATACTCCATATATTGTTTCTTTGATGAAATTGAGTATCTCAATGATATATTATGAGTAGATAAATCTATGAAATTCCACAGTAACTTCATGCTAAATATACTTTGTCTAGTTATGATTTTATTCTTGAACTTATTTTAATGGAATTTGTCAATTTTTTTTGTTAGTAGTACATAACTTCACGAAATATTATTCCGTAATTTTTCCGTGAGTGGTTGTAACTTTATATAATGAATATGCAATGAGAAATAAAATGCTCCACAACGAGAAGATACAGAACACATCAATATATCATGGTTCCCTATAATTGTATTGATATGCCTGAATTTAAAATGGACCGAGTTAAATCGATCATTACTACTCTTAGGGTCTGTTTGGTACACAGAATTAGAATTGAATTGAGAGTTAAAATTCTAATATACCGAGTTAAATCGATCATTACTACTCTTAGGGTCTTTTTTGTACACAGAATTAGAATTGAATTGAGAGTTAAAATTCTAATATTTTATTGAATTGAATGGGATGAAATAGAATTCTTTAACTCTAATTTATTTTTTTATACCACCAATTACATATCTACATGTTTTGTATACCAAACGGAGTTTTAGGATTTGGAGTATGATGTTTTTGATCAGATATACTTCTCTAACAAAGTTGCCAGGGCACATTTCACTATTTGAGGATGCTTAATTTAGAGATTCTTTTAAGTAATTTGGGAGGATGGAGTAATAAGTTAGGAATGAATAATAGAGCTACAAGGAATATGCAAATAAGGTTACCAGTGTGAGTTTAGATCCCTCAAATGAGCAACAATAACATCACATATTGTTCATTTGTTCAACCCATGATGTTGTAAACATGTGATCTTTAACTTAGACCACCTAACAATATCATGGGATCATTTGAGATATAGTGTCATATTATTGTGTTATTAGACTGTGGTGGCCTACCCATTTGTTTTTCATGCACCTAACTTTTATCATTAACCCATGATTTAGGTTTAAAGAATTTAAGAGAATCTCAAATCTCCGAATTAAGCATCTTCAAATGCTCAAATTTGCCCAGGCAACTTTCTTAGAGAAGTATGTTTGGTCTAAAACATCCGCCTCTCAATCCTAAGACTTCGTTTCGTATTCAAAAATATGTAGATTTGAAATTGATATTTTAAAACATAAATTACGAAGTAGAATTAAAGAAATTAATTTCATCAAAATAAATTCAATAGAATATTAGAATTTTAACTCTCAGTTCAATTTTAATTCCGTTTACCAAGTAGACCCTAAAAGTAGTATTGATCGAGGTCAATTTTAAATTCAAATATATCAATACAGTTATAGTGAACCATGATGTATTGATGTGTTCTGTATCTTCTCTTTGCAGAGCATTTTATTTCTCATTGCATATTCATTATATAAAGTTACAACCAGTCAACCACTCACGGAAAAATTAATATTTCCTAGAAAAATCAAAAGTACTATATAAACTTGAAAATTTTTAATTACTCTAATTTGTATTGCATAGTAGTATAATAAAATAAAATTTAAAAAATTAGATGAATCTAATAAAATTGATTGTATACTACAATACGGAGTAGATTACAATTTTTTATATTAAAACTTCAAGTTTATCATTTCTAATTCAAAAAAGTCAAATTGAATACAAAGAGACGGAAGGAGTAAGATGTAAACCAAATTCATTCACTACAATATAAAAATAGACATTAAGGCCCCATTTTAGAATTGCATGAAAAAAAATCTTCATTATTACATATTTTAATATCTTTTTCAAAGTTTAATAAATCAAATTATGAATTTAATTAGTGGTGGGGTGATGTAATATTTGTTTTATGTATCAGCATATGTATAATGATGTTCTAAATGTTGCACAAGATAGCAAGAAGAATTAAATCTTGAAGGAAATTCCAATCCTACCCCTAGGATTATGCTCATCATCATCACTGGGTATTGCAACCATGGGTAGGATTCTGATCGTACATAGAGCTGAAAGGAAATTCCAATCTTGCCCCTGGCATGCCCATCTGAATTGCAGCCGGGTATAAACCGTACCCCGGCGGTTGCGGCGGCGGCATCACACCGGGATGACCATAGTACCCGTAAGAAGGCGGCGGTGGGTAAGGTTGCGGCGGCACTCCGAAATTCGGACCGATCGGGCCGGATTGATTCCAAAATACGGATCCATCCAACCCGTTCCCGGGTCTCCTGTGAAGCTTACAGAACTGATCCCTGCAGATGCTCTTGTCCACCGGCGGCGGCGGCGCGCAGGCGTGTTTCTCCTTTTTCGATCCGCCGCTGCGTTTGAAGCAGCCGTCATCTTCGCCGGAACACGCCGGAGATTCATTCTCCCTGCTCTTGCCCTTGGAGTCGCAGCATTTACTGCCATTGTTATTATTATCCGATTTGTTGTTGTCGCCGGCGGAAGCGTGAAACTGGGCCGGGTCAACTACTTGGGCCAATTTGCCCATTTTCTTAATGGACTTCACCAGCACGGATGGCTCGCAGTTGCATCTCACCGTGGCCCATTTGGTTATTGAGTCGTACTTCACGGAAAACACGTCTATAGAATCATACCACCACGAAAATTAAGAAAATTATTGATGGGCAAAAATACTTAACTAAAATAAAATTATGCAACTTACTATAAGATTTTCAATCGTTTTATACTAAAATAAAATTTACAATTCCAAATAACGTCAAATGTAATGCCAAAAGATATTGTAAATTACTAAATCTAATGCCAAAGTATGAGTATTTTACAATGTAGCATTCAAAACTTAAGAGGTCTTGTTTGGTTATATATTTTGAGACGGAGAAACGAGAAACTTGAAACATGAATTGGCCTAAACGAGATTAAAATTTTAAAAATCTAATCGATTATCTAATTTAATTCAAAAATTTAAAAGTTCATTAATAATTTCCTTTAGGGTCCGTTTGATACAAGGAATTGATGGAATTGGAATTAAATTGGAATTAAAATTCTATGGGATTCAATTCCATAGAATTGAATTCACCAATTCCAATTCATTTTTTGCACTACCAATTCTAAATTCACATAATTTTTGTGCTACCAAACACGAGAATTAGAATTAAATCCTCAATTCCAATTTCATAGTTTGAATTCCGTGTGCCAAACTGGGCCTTAAAAATTGAAGTTACCAGGGCGCTTCAAAAGCGTCTTCTTCAATTTGGTTGTACAGCCGGAGCAACAATTCACGTCCACTTTCAACACACAAACCTAATGTAGAATTTAAGCAACATTGAATTTAAAATAATAATAATAAATTTTGTAATATTCAGAAAAGTAAAAATATATATATATACAACAAATATAACTTACATGATCAGAGGATTCTTGTTCCATTATGATCGCCAGCTTTATTGAATGCTTATGATACACAAACGATCTCTTTAATACTCCGTATGAACACACAAATTTGTCAAATAAACACCCAAAAAAAGGTGTTAATAAAACACACAAATTTGGTGTATTATTTAATCAATCAAAACATTTAAAAAAATAAAAGATCCCACCCCGATTATATTTCTTTTTATAATTACTATCAAAATTTCAAATTAAATGATTTACTCCATATTTTTTATTTTGTAAATTATGTTTGAAAATATGAAAGTTGAAAATTACTCTTTTTTTTTCTTCTACAAACTAAAAGATGATCGAAGACTTGATTACCTATATAGCTAAAATTGGCCGGTGAGCTTTTGTTAATTAGTGTCTTCTTGAATCAATGCTGCATTTGTTTGTGCACTAATATTATCATTATATGTGTATTATATTGACAACTCAATTCAATGTTTTGCAAGAAAACGCTATATATATGTAGAAGGAAGAAGAAAAAATATATAAGGAAACACATGCAATATATGGAAGAAAATTATAAAAGGAAAGATGGATGTAGAGATTTGTAGATATGATCTAATTTAATGTGTAGTAATATGGAAACTCGTTATGGAAGAAATTAAAAAAAAAACCAAACGCTCGATCAAATTGACTTCACTCGTTATGGAAGAAATTATTCCTTTCGTCCCGTATCTCTGTTCATGTTTGACTTTTCGCGATTTCCAATGCAACACTTTGATCATTAGCATATTTATCAAGTATTATATAAAAATAGAATATAAAAGTATGATATTTTCAAAAGTACATTTTAAAGTTTTAAAATGTTGTCCACAAAATTTATAACAGGAAAAATGATATGAGACGAAGGGAGTATTACTTTCGAAATAAAAATAACAACATATTTACCTTGGTCATTATTGTGTGGAACAGTATAACCACTATAACATATAATTATTGAAGACTTTGTTTGGGAACGATATTTTCGAATAGTATTAGGGTTTTGGATAGAATTTTAATTGTATAGATTAATTCTGAAAATGATAAAGCTGAAGACTCTCGTGAGATAGTCTTTTCAAAATACTAATGATTCCTTCTAACGCTAATGACAAACGGGGCCTTAGTGTTTAAAGTTCGATCTACTTTTCCGTCCAAAATTTATCTTCTCACTTTTCTTTTTGGATTGTTTCAAAAAAATGTTTTCATTCCTTAAAAAGAAAGAAATGAGTGGTAATAAAAGCACTTGAAATACTCTATAAGCCCCGAAACTTCAAACCAGAGCTTCAAAATTTCTCTCTCTGTCACATCAATTTTAACTTAAATAACAATTGCACTGGAAATGAGTTTGAAGATCCGAAACTTCAAACTGAAGTTTCAAACCTCTACTTTTAACATTTTGAATACATATCTTCTAAAATTAAATTAATAAGATTTTATTATTTAATTGAATTTAAACGACAACAATTCATTAATTACAAAAAATTACATTCAATAAAATAAATTACATTAATAAAATATTTCTTCCGTCCCAGTGTATTTGTCCAGTTTGACTTTTTCGAGTCAAACTGGATAAAGTTTGAACTTCAATTAAATAGAAACTGTAATGTATTTTAACATAAAAATGACTTTATATGATTTATCGTATTGAGAACTTTCAAAATTGTATTTCATTATGCTTATATGCAATATCAATTGAGAATAATTGGAGTTCAAAGTGTCTAGTTTGATTCGAAAAACTCAAACTGGACAAATATATTGGGACAGAGGTAGTAAGATTTGAATAATAACAACATAAATAAAAAATTAAAATTACATTACATTTAGAAGAAGACAAATTCTATGATGGATCTTAGGTCTACTATGGATCTACATATGAGCAAAATAAACAATTCTTTACTAATTAAATAAGCATTTATTTTTTATATATAAAAAATTATGTGAGAAGGTCTACAAAATTTATATGCATCCAAGGTGCACCAAAGAAACAATCTACGAAAAAATTAGTGATTATTCGAGCGACTAAAAATATCTTCAATCAAATCCGTGGTTGACAACAACCCACCGCGAACAACGAAAAATGAGAGCTTTTCTTTCATCGTCAGATGATGGTCCCATTTTTCGTATATTTTGTAGGGATTATTAAAAGAAATAGAATGCATTTTGAAGGAATTATAGAGAGAATGAGAATATATTAGTTGTGTTTGTTGTGTTAAAAATAAAGGGTATTTATAATATTAAAAATAAATTAATTTTTTAAAAAATAATGCCCAACGACATTATAGCCGTTTGGGGGCAACGACTCCTTTCCCTCAAAATCTGTGTGTTAAACCTTTAAACGCAGCGCAGATGACGCCGACTTAAAGCAAGAGGGAGGCGGTGTTTAACGCTGCCCCAACGTTAAACGTTGGATGATGCCCCCAACATTAGACGCATTTCCAGTACTCTAATACTCCCTCCATCCCACAAAATATTACCCATTTTATGTTTTTTGGTAAAATAGTTACACGCTTTGACCATAAATTAAATATAATCTAAATAAAGAAATGTTATAAAAATTTGATATATAAAAACTAGATTCTAAGATTAATCCAATTATATTAAATATATATTATAATTCAATATACTTTTCTTATAATTTGTAGTCAAAATGTGTAATTTTTTAATTAAATAGTCTCTCTGTCCTAAAACTTTCTTCTCACTTCCCCTTTTTCTCCGTTCTAAAACTACCTTCCCATTAGAAAAAAAAGATGACAAATGACATTAATACCCTCATGTATTTACACCAATTATTTGCAAAAAAAATTTTCAAAAAATCTTTTTTAAGGAGGGTAAAATTTGAAGTCAAAGTCAAAAATTAAAAAAGGGGAAAAGTCAAACTGGGAAGAAAGAATTAGGACGGAGGGAGTACTATTCAAAATGAATAATATTTCGTGGGACAGAAGAAGTTTTGTTTTTCTTCACCATACATTTTTTAAGTAAACAATTTCATTTTCCAAATGAAAGTACTTTTTACCTATACAATTTCGACTGTACGGCGGCTACCATGGCCAGCACTCATCGACTAATCGGCGAACAGTTCTCCGATCTTCCTTAGCCATACGAAGAATGTACGACCTCTGCTATTTATTTCTCTACACCATTTTCATCTTCGCTGCTTAAACCTCCTAGTTGATGTTTTCTTATCGAATCCCAAATTATCTATACATTCAATAGTACTATCGCTGTCCACCCCTTCCAAATGCTGTTAATTTTCATAGATCTCTTTGTTTTTAAACGAAATTGCATTTATACGTAGTAATATTTTGTTTGTAAAAACAAACTATTCCGTTCAATTTTTGTTATTTACTATGCCTTGAGCTGGAGGAGGCTATAAAACGTTTGCAACAGCTTTGCTAAATGCTGTTCTACAGATCTCCTGTCATTCGTTGTATTTTCAAGTTTCTGACTAGTTTTTGCTTTGTCGTGTTTTTCAATTTTTCAATTTTTTTTATATATTTATTTACAAGCCACTTATTAGGCAGTGTATGTGTATGTTTTTTTTATATAAAAAATGTGTTTTTTAGGTGGATCTATTGCATTATACCAGTATTAGTCTTTAACTTTTAATGCTATCCATTTTGAAATTTGCATTTTTTTTAATCATATTTTCGTAGTGCTTAGGCTAAAGAAACTTTGATGCAAGGATGCTATTGCTGTTGTGAAAAATTTGAACACTTTTAATTTCAAAAAGCTGTCCATAGCTACATTGGTGATATAGTTAATTTCTGTTGTTTATAGATAGAGTACAAGATGAACTAAAAGAAGAAGAAGAATCTAAACTTTTGAATAATGATGAAATCTATGTTTAATGATTGCAATTTTTTTATGTATTGGAACTATGGCGTAATGTCTATGATCATTTGCAGGGACTATGTTCACTGATTTTACTTTTGAAGTTAGATTGAAGCATTCGTAAGATGTCTTTGGCACTCTTTAAGGGGATACAATTCTATGCTCCTAAGCAATACTCATTCCCATATTTTCGCAGAAAACATGTCGCTTTATATTGTACTGTGAAGAATTTACAAAACCAGACTGAAAAACAGCTCCAAGGGCCACCAAAAAACAATCCAAAACGACTCGATAACATTTTGAAAGATTATGAAGCAATCATTGGTATTGAAACCCACGTGCAGCTTTCAACTCATACAAAGGCCTTCTGTAGCTGTCCTTACACTTATGGGGCTATTCCAAATACTAACATTTGCCCCGTTTGTGTGGGTTTACCTGGGGCCTTGCCAGTTTTAAACTCAAAGGTTATAGAATCTGCTGTAAAAGTTAGTCTTGCACTCAACTGTAAGCTATCTATGACCTCAAAGTTTGACAGGAAGCAATACTTTTATCCAGACCTCCCAAAGGGATACCAAATATCACAGTTTGATATACCCATTGCAACTGGTGGTTATCTTGATCTGGATATACCTGTTGAACTTGGTGGTGGACATAGGAGGTTTGGGATTACAAGGGTTCACATGGAAGAAGATGCCGGGAAGCTGNTTGCCAGTTTTAAACTCAAAGGTTATAGAATCTGCTGTAAAAGTTAGTCTTGCACTCAACTGTAAGCTATCTATGACCTCAAAGTTTGACAGGAAGCAATACTTTTATCCAGACCTCCCAAAGGGATACCAAATATCACAGTTTGATATACCCATTGCAACTGGTGGTTATCTTGATCTGGATATACCTGTTGAACTTGGTGGTGGACATAGGAGGTTTGGGATTACAAGAGTTCATATGGAAGAAGATGCCGGGAAGTTGCTTCATACTGGCAACAAGAGTTACTCTCAGGTAATTACTTTTTCCTTAATTTGAATTCTTACCAATCTTGTAATTTAGTTTTTATGCTATCCCTCCATAATTAGTTGTTTTCGCCAATAAAAATGTTCCAAAATAATTGGTGATTTAGAAATTCAATGCAACAACAACAACAAAGCCTTATCCCACTAGGTGGGGTCGGCTACATGGATCAAACGACCAATTGCACCCTATCATGTATCATATTTGCTGTGAGATTGTTCACGCGAAGGTCTCCCTTGATCAATGCTTGCAAAGTCCTCTTAGGTCTACCTCTTCCTCTAGCCACATGCATATTCACCATTTGATCAACCCTTCTCACAAGATGCTCTATTGGTCTTCTCTCCACATATCCAAACCACCTAAGACGAGTTTCCACCAACTTTTCTGCAATAGGTGCCACTCCAATTTTATCTCTGATATCTTCATTCCTTATTCGATCCATACGCGTATGACCGCTCATCCAATGAAATTCAACGCATAGTTATATTATTCTTCCTAATTTGCCCTTATTAACTCTCCCAAATGCCAACATTAAATGTTTTAAAATGTTTGCATCAAAATGAAATAGGATATATCCAATGTCATCTGAAGAGGTAGGGAGTAGCTATTATTGTTTAAGGTCTTACAACCATACACATTTAATTAGACTTCTACATATTTTCTGTTTCTTGAAATTTAAAAGAATTTAACAATTGTTTTCATTTGTGATGGGATGTTATTACTTATTAGTATGTACATGTATGTTGTTTTCTTTCATGTCACTAACAGTATGGTAAATTATAGCCCTTTTCAACTCATTAATTATGCAATTCTGAAGTCTGTAGGGCCAGCTTATGAATTTTTATCAGTTCTTGTAAAACAGGTTGATTTGAATAGAGCAGGGGTCCCGTTGCTTGAAATTGTCTCTGAACCTGATATGAGAACTGGTATTGAAGCCGCAGAGTATGCCTCAGAATTACAACGATTGGTCAGATATTTGGGGGTGAGTAATGGTAATATGCAAGAAGGATCACTTCGCTGTGACGTCAATATCTCTGTTCGTCCAATAGGGCAGTTGGAATTTGGTACAAAGGTAATTAATTTAGTTGTAAATTGCAGGGAGGAATTGTCTCAGAAGCTTGTAAATTAGAAGGATGAATACCAAAAAATAATAATTTCACTAAAGCAAAAAAATTGCTATACATGCAGGGATAAAAGTGTGTTTAAGCCTTAACAATATTTAATTTCCATGAACAGGTAGAAATAAAGAACTTGAACTCGTTCTCATCAATGAGTAGGGCCATTGATTTTGAGATTTCAAGACAGGTAATCCTCCATGACCAGGGCCAGGGTGACCAGATTGTACAAGAGACTCGTCTATGGGAAGAAGGTGGTCAGGTTACACGGCGTTTCCTAACATTGCCCCTCTCCATCCCCTTCCCCCGCCCTTACAAGATTTTCATATTTCCTAATAATAGTCTTTGGTGCTTTTAGAAGACAATTACCATGAGGAAAAAAGAAGGGCTTTCTGACTACCGATATTTCCCAGAGCCAGATCTTCCTGGGGTATCAATCACTGATAACTATGTTGACAGTATTTACAAATCACTCCCTGAACTTCCAGAAATGAAACGGCGGAGGTATGAAAAGATGGGATTGAGCATGCAGGATGTACTTTTCCTCGCTAATGACGCTAATGCAAGTAACCTTCCTGATTGCTCATACTCCCTCTGCCTCTTATTTATCCTCACAGTTTCTTTTTGTGTGCTTATTAAGATAGGGAGAATGTGCTGTTTAGATTATTTTAGAAAGAACACAAACCAAACAATTCTTTCTTAAATAGGAAATAGGGAGATAAGGTGGGGATGGCCTAGTGTTTCCCGTTGAATCTTCCAGCACTTATTTATGTTTATAAAAGAAAATTACCACTGTGCTTTTAAACCCTTTTGTTACTTTATAATCTCTTACCAAGCTGAAAATTGTTACAGGTTGCAGAATTTTTTGATGCAACTATTGCTGGAGGGGCAGATATTAAGCTGACCACTAATTGGATGATGGGTGACATAGCTGCATACATGAAGAACGAAAAGATATCCATCAATGATATTAAACTTACCCCTCATGAACTCGGCGAGCTCATATCTGCAATTAAAGAGGGGACTATCAGTGGGAAGATTGGGAAAGAGGTATTATAAAATTGATGTAAATGACCGAATCTTTTAGCTTATCATAATACTACGTAACATAAAAGCCTATTGAGATTCTCAAAATGAAAGACAAACCTTATTTGCAAATTTTAGCTTATCATAGTAACAGACACCTGCATTTTATGCTAAAATTTGACATTTTTTTTAATTGTGGCAAGGCGTTAGTCCTGATTTCACCAAATGGTGATCCTTTCTTTTTGACTGTTCAAACATGACATGTGCAGATTTTGTTTGAGATAATGGCCAAAGGTGGAACTGTGAAGGGGATGATACAAGAAAAGGGGTTGGTTCAGGCAAGTTATGCCACGTTGTATCAACACACACACACACACTATAAAAGAAACTAGCATGGAATATGGATCATTATATTATGCTGCTACATTCTGTGGCTTAATCTGTAGATTATACATGTGCGCGCTTTTAAGTAGTGTCAGTATGTGAGCTTAGTGAGGTCCAATTAGGCATGACAGAGAATGCTTTTATATCTCAAATATCAGATTGTAGACCCTCAAGAGATAGAGAAAATGGTCGATAAAGTAATTGCTGACAATCCGAAGCAAGTAGAGCAGTATCGTGGTGGCAAAACAAAATTGCAAGGTTATTTCGCTGGCCAGGTGTGTGTTCTCTTCTTATTCTTGGATTACGTTAGCTAATTGCTTCGATTCGGTCTTTTTGTGTGGTGTAATTTTTGTACGCTACTAAAGTGGGTGTTTTTTTTGTACAAAAATAAATAAATCTGAAGGTGATGAAGGAATCCAAAGGCAAGGCAAATCCGAAGCTTCTGAACAAAATTCTCTTCAAAAAGTTGAATGCCGAGACCTAATATAACCTATGTAAGTAGTCTATTCACTTTCTCTAGTTGATTTTGCCCTAGGGTTCACTTTTGCCCTTGGGTTTTAACTCAACAATTATTCAATTTGTTGTCTTTTTAACCAAGACTGATTGCCTTCAATTTGCCCTATCATTCTATTTTGGCAACTGGGGAATTGAATTTATTTTGCCAAGTCTGCAATCTCCGAAAGTTTTACAAAAGTTGAAATTTAAAAACAAAAAAAAATCAGATATCTTATTAATAAACTCTCAATTCAAATTGAAAATACAATCTCTTTCAAATTAATGATGCAAAATTAAAAATCAAGACTAACGTATATCTGGACTACCCTTAAAAAAAATCTGGTTTATATAATCAGAAGAAAACAAAAAACTTAGTGATGATCATATTTGTTGACAGATGATCATATTTTCCTAAGAACTTAGTGATGCTTCCTCGCCTTTCTCGCCGCCGCCGCCTTTAGTCTACACTTTTCCCTAACATTCTTGCGAATCTTGGATTCAACCCAAAACTCACTATCGTCATCATCATCATCATCATCATCATTGAATCTTTCTTGAACTTTTTTGGTGTCACTTTTGTGATGATCAACAACAATGACCTTCTTACCCTTTTCTTTCTTTTCCATCTTTAGGTCTTCATGGCGGTCGTCTTCTTCCCCAATGCGTGACACTTCAAAGTACAGATTGCCCAAGCACTCGGCCATGGTAAGGTTGTAAGGATCAACAACTTCATGATCGGCAACATCACTATGATACTTGAAGCTCAAGTTGTTGTCGACGGCGAGGTGAGTGAGTATAGCCATAATTGTAGTGTTTAGTATTGTCGAGGAATGGATTATTGTTTTTTGGACACAATAATGTAATGACATTAGGGGGTTAACCTAGTAGCTATTTATAAGTGTTCATTGTTTCAATAATTTATATTCTTACTCAACGTAGGATACTTTGATATACTCTCTATATACATGCTTGTATGACAAGCTTGTACTAGGATTAGGAGTGCGTGAATTAATCTTTAACAAATTGAATGGAATTAGGTTTTTCTTGAGAAACGAAATAAAATTTAAAAAATTAGTTCAATTTTCAAAAGTAATGAATAATTGAAAATAAATATATGAAGAAAAAAACAAATCGGTTACAAGAAATAAGTGATTTATGTTAGTTCTTTGAAATTTAATAATTGAGGTCATTGTTTCTGGAAATTACTCATTTACTATAGACTGCAAGACCAACCTAAATATGTAGCATTTTAATTGTTGATTGGACAACTATTTTGGATAAGTTGATAACTAATAAAAAATAAAGAAAATACTGGAAATGTGGTAAAATTGAGAAATTAAAATTTTGAAATGCTTTAATATTTTAATGAGATAATAATTTGTCAAATATAAATCCTAGTTGCGCAATTAGTAAGTCTGAATTGGCAACTAATAAAAAAAATTTAAAAACAAAACCTTAAATGCGTTATAACTACGCCTTAGCTCATTTCCCTGTTGGTATAAAACCAAAAGGCTGAGATACAATAAAATTGAAACACTTAAATGTTTTTATGTTTTAATCAGATAAATTGTGAATATATGTTTTCAAACAAAAATGGAAAATTAAAGTTAACATTCTATAATTGAATTATATTCGTTGGATAAATCATGAAAAAAGAAATCCAAGAGGACATCTTAGGGATAAGAGTTTGGATTTAAAATTTTGGCTATTCTAAAAAATATACTACTATAAAAAAGTGAAAACGAAAATATGAACTGGCAGGAAATTATCTAAAAAAGAAAAATGATCAGAATGAATCATAGAAATTACATTTAGAAAGAAGCTAGGCATATCTTATTAAACTTCTATCCATTTGTTTTATACTTCATCTGTAACAATTTTTTTAAATTCAAACAATTGCCCAACCAAGGGGTGGGCACGGGTCAGACCGGTTTGGGTTTTATATTGTCTTGCATTTTGTCCAGTATTTTTCAAACAGTTCGAAATTGTTCGGGATACAAATTATCTCTCTTTGTCCTTTAATATTCAGGATCGGGATTAAATGGAACAGGATCGGGTTGTCCTATTTTGTCATTTTCCTAAATTATACTCGTATATAAAAATATACTCTCTTTGTCAATATATATTTTTCTACTCATAAAATATACTCATGAAATAAATGATATATTTATTTAGAATGTTTAAAAAAGGCCAAAACAATTAGGAAACATGAAAAAAAATATTACAACATACGTCAAAATTCCACACTATAAGCTTCATATTTATGTGTCACTTTTATGCATGTGTGTGAGTTTCGGATCGCCGTTAAAAAACTAAGGCCACTTAACAAAATTTTTGAAAAATGCTTGTTTTTCGTAAATAAATGAAAGATGAGATTATTTTAGGTAATTTTTTTAATTTCTAACATTAAATATGTTTTTATAAACAATACTTCACCAAATTTAAGTGTTTTTTAGAGTGAAACTAATTATTATTTTAATAATTGATAATCTGGCAATAATATTATTTTACACAATTGAGCTTATTTATTTACTTCATAACTCAGTACATTTTTTAAGTTGCAATTGTAATTCTTAAGCGACATTTCAAATTATTTTTTGATACTCTACTATTACTATAATTTAAAAAACGGTATTACAAAAATTGTGAGTATTTTTCAATAATTCTATAAGCCCGCCCATGCTTCATAATTGCATGCTCGACATGCTATAATCCTCTTTCATTCCTCCAAGCTATTCACACATTCATATTATGCTCGACTTGCTATAATAGACTATAATTGGTAGAAGTACATTATGGCAGGATCAGTCACCCGGGCAAACGACCCTCCTCCCAAAAGAATTGTGTTATCCCCCCGATCCTTATAAAGCAAAAGAGAGGTCTGGTGATCCCTAGGTTGCAGCACGTGCAGTCGTGAACTCCTCTCCTATTGGTCGAGTGGTTGGTCGAATGAGTTTTCTAACTATGTTCCATGCAATGAGTTTCACATAGTGAAATGAACTCTCTCTATATGTACAAACCACCTTAGACGGGCTTCCCCCATCTTTAGCTCTCATGTCTTCATTTCTTATTTTATCCATACGTGTTTGATCACTCATTCATCGAAGACTCTTCATTGCGGTCATATTAACCATGTGTTCATGTGAACCCTTTGTAGCCCAACACTTTGTTTCGTAGAACACTACATAGGATGTGTTTTATACCCCGAAGAACGACAGTTATCCTTCCACGTGTGTGAGTTCAATCGACGACCCAAATTAATTTCATCCTCTTCTTAACATTGGGCATTACTCCTTTCATAACCTCTAACTAATGTTGAACACACAAATTTAAAACATGACATGTGCACATCTGGTGCATAAATCTACTTATGGTGCCTGTAAGAGGGCAAAATTTTGCAAGTCTAAAAATTATGGTGAAGTTATTAGTAGCATTGTCAAAACTAAATGCAAACAATTTATCAAGCAAATTACTCCATATTTTTTCCAAAATACGCTCAAGCGAAATAACAAAATTATCATCGGAGAATTAAAAGTACCAAGAAAGTTAGCCTAATTAGTTTTTTCAGATAAACCCATGTTAGCTAAAGAAGATATTCGTATTTGTTTGTTCACCCTTCATCTTAGCCGCTCTACGTGGTGCTTTGGTGTGAGGTGTTTGTTGACCCAACCACACAACTCATTGAAGCCCTTATACGGAGTATTAAATCCTTTCGCAGTGTGGGCAAGTTGTGAACCTCTAGACAAATAAGCCATCTTTTTCTTTTATAAAATGACACTCCTTGGCCCTTCCAAATCCAAAGTCAGTTAATTGTATGGGAGGTTAATTTTATACCTTGACCCAAATCCAAAGTAAGAGCAAGAAGAAGATAAGAATATCAATTTTCTTTTTCAAAAAAAAAAATTTACTAAATTATACTCCCTCCGTCCCAATTTAAATCATCTATTTTGACTTTTGGACATATTTAAGGAAAATAAAAAATAGAGTTAATTTTCCAAAATTGTCATTATTTTTTAGAAGAAGTGATGATGAATGAGAAGAGAAGATGAAGAAGTGTGACTTATTTTAGGGGTAGTTCACATATTTTATTTTTAAAAATTTACGAAAACAATTAAGCAACTTATTTTGGAACAGAAAAAAAAGTCAAGCAATTTAAAATAGGACAGAGGGAGTAACATGTTTTGCCAAAAAAAAGAATATCACCTTATTATTGTTTTCATTAAGCTTTTTATTGCTTGTGAATTTGAGTACACGAACATCTACACTTCTAGAACAAATTTTGAATCTCGGATGGATTCCATTTAACCAATAAGGCATCTTGATATCATCTACGCCAATTTTTTTATATATCTAGGAAATATACTAACTCAGTCTTAAAACATTTTTTCCATTTTTATTTGACTAATTTTAATTCAAATCAATTTATTTGATTATGTATAAAATTAAAAATTAAAATTTATATATTTAAAATTATATAAAAATTCTACAAAATAAGAGACATCAAGAATTTATCAAAACAGATAAGAAAAAATAATTAAAATTTGACCGTCTAAATAGAGTAACTAAGAATAACATTATAGAACAAAGGAAATATTAAATAAGTGTTCTAAGAGGCAGTTTTGAAAACCAAAAAAACCCAAAAATAATCAAAATAAAAACCACATAAAACTGAACTAAATGACTAACGGCTTATATATTTTTGGTGTAAAACCAATCCAATAACTTACCTTGCATTATGATTTTAGTTTTGGGTGAAAATCAAACCACCAAAACCACATACATCCCTAGTGCTTTGGTTAATAAGCATACTAGTACTTTGATCTTTAAAAAAAAAGTCTCCATATTAGATCAAACAAAAGGCAAAAAAACATATGTCAAGAAAAATAGATGTCCAAAAACCTTTGTAGAGTTCACATAATGGCAAGAACAAATGGACTTCAAGTATATAAACGCGTGAATTAAGCAGCAGCGCCAGCTGCCTTGCCCTTCTTCCTCTGAAGTTTCTTCATGTAAAATTCAAGCTCTTTGCCCTCCAAAATGTACCTACCAATGTCACATAGAAAGGTTAAAACCTATAGCAAGAAAAGAACGCAAAGCAAATAAATCTATACATAGTATTACGAAATGGGTTTGGGGATTTACCCGTCAGCTCGGCCACATTGACCTGGACGAGAGGAAATGCACGCCATGAGCCTGCCTGAACCAAATTGCTCTTCAAGGTGAGGATCAAGTTTCCTGTCCTTTTGACGGGTCTCAAGTTTCCTCAAGACATGTTTACTCTTCTTAGTTTCTTCAGCACCAGCAGCTCCTTCACCTGCCTCCTGTCATGTATAGTTCAAAAGGACCAACACATGTAAAAAATGTTAAGTTTGTAAGGCCATGTTCTTCTCAACTTAACATTTTTTTACTTCTTATTACTTATTCTTACTGGAATAAGATATGACCAGATAATAAACAGTTTTAAATATAACTAGATACAGATCAGATGAACTTATTCCAAAAAGATCAAAACCATGAAGAGAACATGGCATAAACCATGTAAGTTTCAAGTCTTTTTGACAGGTCTGAAGTTTCCTCAAGACTTCTTTTTGAGGGGAAGGGGGTAAAGTAAAGGAGCACTACTTGTACTCTCAAAATTTTGGTATTGCCTTCTAAGATGAGATGGTAACTTTTGTTTTGTTTAATATGGGTTTAGGTTTTCCAATGTCTATAAAACAATAGAAAAAATTGAATAAAATGAGCCCTCTCAGCCAGCCAGCAACACTTACATGCATATACCATTTGCATTAGAAACTCAAATAGTTTGTAGGGCATGGCATGACATCAAAAATTATAAGCTTCAAATTACCTCGGCAGTTTCTTTCTTAGCAGCTGCCTTCTTC